ACTACAAAACTCTATTAAAAGAAATCGAAGAAGATACAAAAAAATGGAAAGATATTCCGTGTTCTTGGATTTAAAGAATCAACATAGTTAAAATGAGCATGTAACCTAAAGCATTATACAGATTTAATGCAATCTCCATCAAAATTTCATTGGCATTTTTTAAAACAAATTAAACGAAAAAATCACGATATTTGTATGGAAGCACAAAAGACCTCGTATGGCCAAAGTCATCCTGAGAAAAAAGAATGAGGCTGGAGGCATCACTCTGCTTGACTTCAAATTATACTACAAAACGACGGTAATCAAAACAGCATGGTATTGGCAGCAAAACAGACACACAGACCAGTGAAACAGAATCGAGAGTCCAGAAGTCAACCCATATTTATATGGGCAAATAATTTTCGACAAAAAAGCCAAAAACATTCAGTGGAGAAAGGAAAGCTTCTTCAAATAAATGGTGCGGGAAAATTGGAAGGCCAGTTGCAAAAGAATGAAACTAGACTGTTCTCTATCACCACACACCAAAATTAACTCAAAACAGGTTAAAGACCTGAATATAAAACCCGAAACAATAAGATGAATAGAAGAAAATGTAGGAATGAAACTCAAGGACCTTGGGCTTAAACAAGATTTTATGAATTTGACTTCAAAGACAAGGAGATGTAAAAGCAAAAATAAATGAATGGGACTACATCAAACTAAAAAGCTCTGCTCAGGAAAAGAAATTGTCCACAAGATAAAGAGAAAACTATCCGAATGGGAAAATATATTTGCAAGCAATGCCTTAGATAAGGGCCTAACATCCAAAATACACAAAGAACTCATCCAGTTCTATAACAACAAAAAAACAAATGATTCCATCAAAAAATGGGCAGAGGACTTGAACAAACACTTCTCTCTAGAGGATATACAAATGGCCTACAAACATATGAAAAGATGCTCAATATTTCTAGCTATTAAGGAAATGCAAATCAAAACCACAATGAGATACCATCTCACACATGTTAGAATAGCTATAGTCAACAGGATAAGTAATAACAAATGTTGGAGAGGATGCAGAGAAAAAGCAACCCTCCTACACTGCTGCTGGGACTGCAAATTGGTACAGTCACTATGGAAAACAGTATGGAGGTTCCTCAAAAAACTAAGAATTGATCTACCATATGTTTCAGCAATTCTTCTACTGGGTATTTACCCCAAAGACTTGAAAACTCTCATCTGAAAAGATATGTGCGTACTGATGTTCATAGTAGCATTATTCACAGTGGCCAGAACATGGGAGCAACTGAAGTGTCCTATGATAGACGATTGGCTAAAGAAGCTGTGGTACATATATATGATGGACTATTACTCAGCCATAAGAAGAGATGAAATACTGCCATTTGCGACAACATGGATGGACCTCGAGATAATCATGCTAAGCGAAATAAATCAGAGCAAAAAAGTTGAAAATCACATGATATCACTTATATGTGGGATATAAACCTAAAAACAACCTGTTAACAGACAAAACAAACAGAGATTCATGGACATGAACTACAGACTAGTGGTTACCAGAGGACTATAGACTAGTGGTTACTAGTGGGGTGAGTGAGGAGGGGAGAAGTAGATGATGCAAAGGGGATCAAATATATGGTAGCTGAAGGAAACTGGAATTTAGGTGGTAAACACACAATAGATTATACAGATTTCAATGTATAATGTACACTTGAAAATTATATAATTGTTTTAACCAATGTTACCCCAATAAACTTAAAAAAAGTGATAAGTTGCATATTTCCATGTCTGTAAGTTTATTTTCTGGAGATTTTTCTCTTTTTTTCTGAGATGCCTTGTCACTTTGGTTGTTCATGGTTTTTAATGGACTATTTTTCAACCTGGGCATTAATGAAAGTGCATTCTGCTGGTTTTCTAGAAGGAAGGTTTATTATATAAAGGTCTTTAGCCTACTACAAAGAAGGCGCTTTTCTTTTGGATTCCAGTAAGCGGCATCTAAGCCTCTTGGATCCCTGCTTCATATAAAGCCTTAAAAATGACTTTGTATTTTCTGTTATATATGTAATCACGCTCGCTACCCTCAGTTCCAGTCCCTATCAGTGTTAGCAATAGTTTTGGTAGCGTTTGTTTAGATTCCCCTGGGTCTCCGCAGTGATTGATCTCAGAGGTTATGGAGGCAGGTGCCCTCTGGGTTGAGGTTGGGGGCTGCGGCTCAGCTTCGGTTTTGCAACCACAGCTGGTCAAAATCAACTGTTGTTTTTCTGCCATCCTGCTTCTCTGCTTTCTGACCTGATGACTGGGCCCTGCCGCCTGCCGCTGGGAACTCACACCTTTCCCAGGCAGGGCTGTTCAGGGAACTCGCTGCTCCTTCTCCCCTCCCCTTCCTCCTACAGGTAGCTCTGGCAGCTGCTGAAAGAGGCAACTTCTTTATTTCTCCCGGTCCACCATCTGACACACAGAGTTCTGACCTGTGGTAGCTCTTACGTGCAGATCCCACACTCAGATGTGCTGGTGTGCAGTTTGGGTGTTTTATGTTGTGTTTTAGATGTTCAGGTTATTGTTGTTTCAAGGGGAGAGATCTGGGATGTCTCTTACTCCACCATGTTTCCAAAGATCTCAACTCTTAGAGCATCCATTCATGACTTCATAGCTAACAGCTTGCTCTACTTGCTCATGACACCATCTCTGATCACAGAGTATACTCGTTGTGTGCCCATTAGTCTCCATTACTTGTACTCAATTCTACGTAGTTCCAGAAGATACAATGGAAAAGTATACTGAATCATCACCTACCATGCAAGTAGAGCATTCCTTCTTTCAGGTGGAGAATCCAATTCTGGAGCCACAAGTGCAGCATCTGACCGAGGATAATGCTACTCTGAGGGAACAAGTCATGTCTGCCCTGGCAACCCCAATGATGCCTATATCCTGCTCACTCGAGCATCTTTCCCAGTTTTATGATGACACTGCCAATATCTCAGGGTTTCTTGCTCAGGTGACTACCTACTTGACAATTCTCAAGATCCCCAATCCTGCAGATGATGCCCAAGTCAAGTTCTTTTTTGACTACCTATCTCAGCAGATGGAAAGCTGTGGGATCATATCTACACCTGACCAGAATGCTCTGTTGAAGCAATATGAAAACTTTGTTTTAGAGTTCCAGCAGTCATTTGATGAGTCCAAAAAACAGGAAATGAGCTCTCTGGTGAACGATAAAATTGACAAAGGGGACAAGTTCTCTAAGCAGGATGCTACTACTTTTCAGCTTCTTGGTCAAAATCTGAACTGTAATAAAGCATATCAGACTGATCTCTTCCAAAAAGTACTAGCTGACTCCTTTCAGGATGAAGTGAGTGGCACAGATATGATGGACAACCTCCCAGACTTACTCAGTGTATTCAATAGGACAAGAAACGTAACAACAGGCCAGAGTTGTTACAGTCAGAGGCCCAGCTCCCAGTGTTGTCTACTCATACCCACCATTAAATCTCCATCACAGGTTCACCACCCATGGAAGAGATTATACAGCTGCAAAGAAGCCAGCCACCTCTCACTCCGGCCAAATGAGCCCACCAGAAGAAACACAGTGTGTCTCTACTGTAGCTAAGCTGGTCACTTCACAAGAGATTCCTTTGCCAAAAGATCTCGAGCCCCAGCAAGGATAAGTAACCCAGCTCACAAGTAAGAGGAGCTCAGGTGGGTGTTTGTAAACTTATATTCCTCTCACCTCCAGCCTTATATCCTGCACTATATATGCAACTGATTTATATCCTGCACTAACATTTAACACACAGATGGGGAACTGTGATATCACTTTACACTGTCATGAACTCATGTGCTTCTGGAAATTTTGTTTATTTAGTGACCTGTCACCAGATCTAATCCAACAATGATGAAAATTCACAGGTACTTTTTACAGTTGGGACCATTTCCCCAAGCATACTGAAAACCTTTAGGTAAAACTCTGCTCAGTCTTTGCCAATGAAAACAACCCTGGCAGTACACTGGAAATCCCATCCCCACCAATGGGTGAAATCTGGGTTGAGTTTGTTGACCGAAGTTTTCCATGCCTAGGATTGGGTCCAAGCCTTTCACCCTTACCCTCATTGTTCCCTGTTGGTTTAAGATTCTTAGCCAACATCTTAATTGCATTTCCATATCCTACCAATATCTTCCTACTAGAGGCTGGCTCCTGCTCCAATTATTGACTAGACTCCAGCTTCAATAAAAACCAAACTTCATGGAAACACAGCTCTGCCACCCTTCTATACAGCTATGTGTTTTGTTGCCATTTAAAGACTTCTGCTTTTGTTGCCATTTAAAGACTTCTGCCCAACAAACTGGATCTCTTGGCTATTGACAAATCAGATGGTATGGCCCTTTGAACACTGTTTGGAACTATCAGTCCACTTCTTTGAGGGCATGTACCTTCAGATAGGTACATGATTTTAGCCAAGGTCTACCAATCCCAGCTTATCCTCCTCTTTGCCAACAATCTCCTCAAGGTTTCTACATGTCTTATGACTAAATCAAAATAGTCTTGAATAATGAACTCTGACGAGTATTTAGTGAGTTGGTGAAGGTGTCCCATCACAATTACTGCATTTTCAGCATATCCTTGCTGCCTTAGACAGGTACCTCCACTGAAGACTGAGGTCAGGCCTTGTAGTACTTCCTGACTCTAGGGACCTCACCATCTAGGATCACTGCCCATTAATGTTAAGCTCTACTGGTATGGACCACCTCTGGAAATACTCATCTAGTTGAGGATCTTGAAGAGCAATTAAGGGCAGGCAATATTCTGAACCATTTCAACTGAAGAATCCTGGGGCATATACATCAACACCATCTGTACATAAAACTAAAAAAAAATGGAAGTTTGATTGCTTGTGTTGTGCTCTTGGCACATATCAGTTGTGTATGGATTCCTAACACTTCTGAACAAAAATAGTTCTATGCTGTAAAGGCACAACTTATAAAATGTTAAGGATATCCAGTGATGATCAGTGTTTGCTGGTAATTGAGTCCTCTGTTTCCTGCCTCTTGGTGCTGATGTATATCCCCATAATGGATCTCATGAAGAGATGCTGGTAATTACATTTTCTCTAACAGCCATCAAGGCCTCTCATAACATGAAATGCAATTGTACTTTGGGCTTGTTCCTGGAAAATTATGCTAACTTTGTCAATACTTAAACCCATCTAGGAGCTTACTACTCTCATCTTGTAGCACTAACAGAAAGATCTTTTCACCCATCAGTGCCTCACTAATCACTGTGCCAATCCTTATTTGCATTCACAAGAGGTCTCTTTTATCAACAGCTTACGATGCATCCACTTTACTTGGTGTGGTTTCTCAACAAAGAGACCTGTATGCATGTTTTCCAGTTGTCCCAAGAAATTCCCTCTGGGGTACTGGGATTATGGGACATCCTCTAGCCGGTAGATCTATTTGAACTTTAAGTAATTTTGGAATTACCTGGAGGTATCCTGATCTAACACCACCAATTCTGTAATAAAGAACTAACCCAATTGCTTTCAGTCACTTCCCTTACTGACCCCAGTATGGTCCTGGAATACTAATGGTAGCATTCAGTTGGCTTCATCCTCAATCTTTCCTTATCTTAGGGCCACAGTTCATCATTGTGTGCCCTCTCACAAATATATGTCACTTTATTTCCTGTTTGGATCTTCTCTCCAGCAAAATTACTTTCTTCCCCAAGAAGTCTTCATATTTCATAGCCTCTCTAAACAAATAATTAATCCTGACCTATTAACTTCAGTTCACATCTCACTTCTAGAAATCACTTTTTGAGGAATTTCCAATCAAGGACCTCTTGTGCTCTGTGTGATACAATCCAACAGCCAAACTGATCATCTGAATACGGTGCTGAAACAAATGCTTTACTGCCTACTAACTAAGAACCATTTAGTTTATCACTTCAAAACTTTGTTATAGTGACACCATCCAGTTCAACTAGAATAAATTCATTACTTAGCATAAAAAGAGTTACACAGATATATTCTCAGAACTTATACTTGAGTGAATTCTTTGAGAATGAAACAAATTAAAATCTATAGAAAACAGATGACATATAACTTACTGAAAGATGTTGAAGATGTTATCTGCAACTAAAAATCTTGGGGAACTCCCAGGTACAATCAAGGTTGTAGTGTTAGGGAGACAGATGTGCTATGTGAATGATGCCACCCAGCAAGACACAATCTAATCATTTTATTATGTCTTAAGAAGGAATTGTTAACAAGAGAATGATTTGCATGAAATCTAGACAAGGAGGCAATTAAAGAGCCATAAGACATTGGTAATCTTGGTAATCTTTCTAGAGTTAGAAAGAGGATGTTGACCAGCTGACAATTTGGCAGGTCCACCTACAAGGCGTAAAGGCACCAGGCCACCCCGATTTGTGTCATTAGCCATTAGGATTTCACCTAACTCTCCTTTCTCTTACTCCATGCTCTAAAAAGTAATATGACTGTAATTACTTTCCCATATAAAGTTTGTTATGGGAAGAAAACTTGCTAACCAGCTGACATTAGTGTTCTAGCCTCCTTGATAGTTAATTCTCATTATAAGTGAATAAATTGGTATTTGACTTATACCAATTTATTCACTTATAAATTTTTTTTTTATAGTTTTAATAGCATCCATCCTCCAGATCTTAAGAACCTCTGGGCAAACTATAAAAAAATATTTTCACCATGCAAACTCAGTACCACAGTATGAACCATAGTGAATCCACTAAAGATCTGCCTCCCTGGGAATCTTGCCTCAACAGTCGGTCAGCCTCCCTCTTTATCTCTCTCATTTGTCTACAACTGCAATGAAATTATTAAATACCTATGTGTTTCACTTTCTACACTTATCTCCACTCACACCCAGCCCCATGGTACCTGCCATAAGTAATTGCTTCTTACAATATTACACCATTTGATCTAACCATCAGAATACACTGTCATGGATAAAGACATAACACATGACTGTAAATATAAGTCCATAGCAAGCACATTTAGAGATAGAGAAGTATATGTGAATGACCTCTCACTACCCCCATTCTGTCCAGAATGCAACACATAGAACCCATGCTATCACTACAATTGCTTCTATCCATGACGGTAAAACAAATATCACACTTATTACCCTTTTCCAGGCTCTGGAAGATCTTCTCCACCTGACACCATCTTGCCTATGACCATGACAGTTATCTCTGAAACAAAATAGAACATTTAACATATAACGGCATCATGGCAAAATCTAACACTTCATGCTCTTGGTAGAGCTCTAGGAGCTTGTGTCATAGCTGTAACTCTACATTGGTGGCCATGTTTCATTGTCTCCTTGTGAAGCTTCAGGCCTCACTTGGTCAAGAGATTGGAATAGCCTTCAAGGGAATATAGTGTCATGAATCTTCAATGTCACCTTCATACAAGAGTCACTGCCCACATTTTACAAACAAGTGCCTGAAGGGTTACGCCATTTAGTAGAGTCAGTAGAATTATCTTGGTACCTGGATCAGATTTTCCAGCCATTGATTGTGACTATAACTGAGCATTCATGCACTAAATTATTTGTATTACCTCCTTGTACTGGCTTTGATTCTTGGTATATTTTAACCTGTTTTCTGAAAATTGATTTCTAGTACATACTTTACATAACACTGGCTTTCTTATCTGTCCTGCTCAGTGATAAGTCAGTTGTGACGGTATTCCACCAACCCCATTTACTTCATAGTAACCCAGTGGAGGACCATGTACAATTTCAGTTTTCCTATACATAGAAGACTCATCTCTTTGGGCATAAAATCTGGTTTTGTGTGCATCTGGAGAAAGGGAAACAATAGTTGGTGAATTACTTTTTCATGTCAAGCACTGTGCTCAGTGCTTTAACTTGTCAATGATACTCATTTAACTTTATATTATAAAAAACGGAATATCCATTTCTGGCATTTAATGTTCACCACATCTTTATGTGGTAGGTGTTATAAATTCAACTTGAAGACAATGGAATGATGGTTCAGAACACTTAACTTACCTGCCCTAAAATTATGCAACTAGAAGTGGCAGGGCTAGGATTTGAAACAAGTATCTTTTTAATGCCAGAGATTCACATCCTTCTTGATCAGCCTAACTGACCCAGTTACACCTCCTATAGCTGCTCAGTACAGCGAAGCCACTTTAGAAACTGGTATTCACATAGCCACTGGTTGAAATACTTGTTCTGGAAAGTACTCCATAAAGGAAGCACATAACAAATCAGTGCCTTCCAGGACTTTGACATTTCATTTGTGTTTCTAATGAGTTGGAGAAAATTCCTTGACACACCTAAAAATACACAGTTTCTACACTTTCTGATTGAGTAGGCTCTTGATTGTTGAGTCAGGATTTTAACAAAGGTTTCTGGCTATCACAAATACTTCATATTTCTATAGCTCTTCATTCAAAGCTATTGAGTCTTTTTGAACAATAGCTTAACAATATTTACAGTGTTTGTATTCTGTTAGGACACAAAAAACAAAAACAAAAACACAAACAAAAAACTTGAATGCTTGTAATGGTTGTTATCTGCCATTGTCATGGGAAAATCAAGATTAGAGTAAGAGTTTGATTAATTCAAACAGCAATTAGTCATTAAATTTGAAGACTATCCCCACATTTTTGATACTGAAAT